ATTCACGTTTATCTTTTAATAATTGTATTTGTTTTGAACGTTGATGTACCGAAAATGTATGATTTTCTGAAGGTAATGGAGGTAAATCAGTCATGTATGCACCAGCTTCTTGATCATGACATGAATGAATATTCGATGGAAAAGTTAATGAACGATCAAAAGCTGTACAAACACTTGACAAATCAGATGTAAGATTTTGTGTTTGTGCTTCCATTGTTGACATTGGTACAAAACACCAGTATTGCGGATTACAATCCAGAAACATTTGCATAGCATATGAACACCGAGCTGAATGTTTATAAAGTAACATATTATCAGCTATTAATTCTCTAGAATTTATATGTGTAGTAATATGAATATATGTATACATGGAAAAAATTGAATTACTCTTGTGATTTAGTTTGTTGTCGCATACGACTACTATTTTCTGAACCAAGAATAAATTCATGCATAATTCGATTACCATGTTCACGATGATCTATATATATAGAAGATAATTATCATTTATTAAAAATAAAATATACTAACATTTAAGTTGTTCATCCAATGTTAATGATGTATATCCAATATAATCATATTGACCACAAGGACATGTCAATGCATAGAGTATATTTTTGGTAATACAAGTCTAAATAAATGAGAAAAATCAGAAAATCAAACATATGATAGTATATACCACTGGACAATTGAGAATAGATTCATATCCATTGACAAAACGATGTTTCTGTGCTGATGAAAATTGAACAACTGGTTGATTTTGTCGACCACGAATAAGAATATCAGTGATGGGAAAACAAAATCGACATGTAACTTGTTCACATGGTTTTAGACCATAGAGCGCTTTTGGTTCATGGATAGAGAAGATACCATGATGATTGTATAATGATGGCTTAGCATTACGAAAAGAACATGTTTTCATAAAAAACAATTCATCTAGAATACATACATAATCATATGATCATAGGAAACAAAAAATTGTATACCATCAATTTGTAGATAAAATTCCATTGCTAATGGATATTCAACCATTCGTAATTCTTTCATACCAATAGTATCCGATGCTAGTAAACCGTATCGAATTCGTTCTTGTACCATAATATTCATACAAGTACGAAGACGTTCATAATTGTAACTAAGAATGGCATTATCAATTTGAAAACGTTTAGTTAAATTTCCATATAAATCATCATATACTTCCAAGAAAGGTGATCGAACACTAATATCATTACCTTCATCAGTTAGAGTAAATGGTTGATGAAATGGATGATAAGTACGACGTTGTCGTTGCTCTTTTGTTAAGTTTCGAGAAGAAATATTAGATAAAAGTAAATGATCTCGATTGATAGGTCCAAATCGATCAAATGTTGGATAAGCTGGTAACAGAGATTGACGATTCACAATAGGATTTGAACACTTTAATGGTTGTATTTCCTGTTTAATTGATTGTTGTTGAAGATTATTGTT